AAGACTGATCTGCCCATAGGCACTGCTGAATGTCTGGCCTGCCAGCAACAATGACCAACACTGATTCCCCATATGGCACCATTCCCTGGGATGATCAGCCTGGTGACATGTTGACTATATTGAACCTTATTTATTTATTTATTTATTTAGGTACTGGGGATTGAACTCAGGATCTTGCTCTTGCAAGGCAGGCAGCAGCACAACTGAGCTAAATCCCTGGGCCTATACTGGACCTCTTTCAACATAGAAAGGGCAGTGCTTTGTTCTTAATGGCACAGACACGTATTCTGGGTATGGATTTGCTTTCCCTGCATGTAATGCTTCTGCCAAAACTACCAGATGTAGACTTACAGAATGCTTCAGATCCCTGTTAGTATTTGTGGTATTCCATGAATATGGTATTTCCATCATGGTATTCCACACAACATTGCTTATGATCAAAGAATGCATTTCATAACCAAAGAAATGGGGCAGTGGGTTCATGATCATGGAATTCATTGGTCTTACCAGGTTCTTCACCATCCAGAAGGAACTGGATTGGTAGAAAGGTAGAGTGGCCTTGTGATGACACAATTACTAGCTATGTGGCAGTACCTTGATGGGCTAGGACAAGGTTCTCTAAAAGGCTGTATATGCTTTGAATCACTACCCACTCTATGGTACTGTTTTTCCCAAAGCCAGGATTCAACAGTTCAGAAAACTAGGGGTAGAAATGGGAATGGTATTATCTACCATTATCCCTAGTGACCACTAGAAAAATTTTTGCTTTTTGCTTTTGTGACCTTATGCTCCACTGGCTAAGGAGTTTTAGTTCCAGAGGAAGAAAGTTTGTACTAGGAAGTGCAACAGCTGGTCACTTTGAGCTCCTCATGCTTCTGAATAAACAAGCTAAAAATTAATTACAATATCAGGAGGGCTTATTGATCCAGACTATCAAGGGAAATTAGACTATTACACCACAATGGAAGGAATGAAGAATATAATTGGAGTGCAGGACATCCCTTAAGAGATCCCTTAAATTCCTTACCATTATTGTATCCTATTATTGAGGTCATTGGAAACAAGAATCCAATCCCAGCAAGATGAAAAATGGCTGAGAATCTTCAGGAGTGTAATGCTTCCTCTGTGTGAGTGAGTAATTAACCAGCAGGGAAGTCAAAGATATTCCCAGGAAGGGACAGCATGGATTGGTCTCTTTCTGAAAATTTCTAATTTATATTCATGTATTCACAATTATGCCAGCATGCTTTTGGAAATGAACTTCTTATTCAGCAAACATCTTAAGATCTTCCAAGCAGAAGGTACTATTTATTTATTTATTTTATTTATTTTATTTTTTTTGAGACTGGGTCTCACTATGTAGTTTCAGACTGAGCTGGAACTCACTATGAGCCCAGGTTGGATTTGAACTCACAACATCCTCCTGCCTCAGCCTCCCAAGTGCTGGGATTATAGGTGTGCGCCACCACACCCGGCTCGGAAGGTACTATTTTAAAGGAAGGGATTATGTTTTCTATTACTTCTGCATGCCTTACATTGCTTAGTAGTATCAGGCACAAAATAGGAGCTAATTTGTGTTTAATTTTAATTTTTTTTTTTTTTTGGTTTTTTGATTTTTTTGAGACAGGGTCTCACTACGTAGTCGAGACTGACCTGGAACTCGTTATGTAGCCCAGGTTGGTCTCGAATTTACAGCAATCCTCCTGCCTCAGCCTTCCAAGTGCTGGGATTACAGGCATGCGCCACCACGCCCAGCTTAATTTGTGTTTTAATATAAAAGGATACTATATATCCATTGTAGGTTAAGATGCATTTGTGTTTTAATATAAAAGGATGCTATATATCCATTGTAGGTTAAGATTTTGAATTTCTTTATGCAGTAATAATGATAATGGTTTGGCCCCTTTTGTCCAGTATTCTTAATTCTAGCCATTTATGTTGCCTTGTCTCCAATTCCTATATCTATCCTTGTGTTCATCTTTATAAAGAAAACTATATGCCAACATATATGATGACTGTGACTTATAGTGTCTTTGGCTGTGGAACAATGCAGAACTAATTGGAATATCTGGGAATGGACGCTATGGTTTTGAGCTTCCAGCTTGATGATTTAAACAGTGCACTAACCACCCACAGACTGGTGTACAGTCTTGTTCATTGAATTATTCGAATAATCCCTTATATTCTAGACACGTTACAATCATTCAGGGCTTAATAAGTCATAACAAAAGAACTCTGTCCTCATCAGTAGTTCTTATTAAGACCTTTAGGTTCTTGAAATAGATCTGATTCTTCCTTATAACTTTGCTTACTACTATTCTCATTCAGAATATTTGGCTCTGGTGTGGCAAAGTAAAATAGAATGGAGTATTTGAAGATAGTTTCTTGAGAGAAAAGAAATATGTAGCATTTTTTTCTTTGTTAATGGACATAAAATGTGAAATAGCTAATAATGCTCTAATTAACTACTTTTAAATAGAACCCCTGATTTTCAGCTGGGCATGAAGTTGCCTAAGGTAAATATTCAGTTTCCTATACTACTTTACAGCTTGCTACAGCACTGTGACTAAATTCAGGACAGTGGATGTGGGAGGGAATGATCTAAGAAGTTTCTGGGTTGAGTTTTTTAAGACGAGAAACATACTCTCCCCTCCTGCTTTCATGGCCCTCCCACTGACTGGCATGCAACTGTAATGGCTGACTATCCTTGACTGTGGAGAAGAGGGCAACACATTTGTGCCCTTGTGGTGGAAGAATAAGTAGATAGGAGTATGCAGCTTTAGACTGTTTATGCTCAGAGTTGTTATGTTAAAGAAGAATAAATTGTCCTGTTTAAGCTATGATTATTTTAGGTCTCTCGTTCACCTGCTAATTACTACAATGAAAGATTGAAAAAACAAAACAAAAGGGTTTACACAATGCCAGCTTAGTGAGATGACAAGAAACATAGTTTTAAAAGTATTTAATGACTTTCTCAAATCAGTACAAAAATTTAAATACAAAAATGATTTGTCATTAAGTCTCAAATCTATCATGGAAACTGAAAGAAGTTACCAGTCTGTTCACCATTCATTATAGTCTGTAAAATATTTGAGGACAGTCACCATTACAGACATTCTTTTCCCTGGTAGGATGTCATATTGCATTATAACTCTGTTTAAATAACAATAATTGTAATTTGATCCATTTCACATGGAAAAGTTCTATTTATTTTTAATCAAATATGGATTACACTACTATCCCTAGACTTTAGAACATGTTGTTTCATCTGCTTTTTTTTTTTGTACCAGGGATCAAACTCAGGACCTTGCACTTGCAAGGCAGGCAGCAGAACCACTGAGCTAAATCACCGGCCCTCATCTGTTTTTATACTGATGTGTTAGCATGATGCGCATTTCTCAAAAGGGAAACATGGGCATATAGATAATTAGTTAAAACTCTTTTTTAAATTAAATGGAGTATCATTTAGTTTTGAGATTAGCACCATTGTAGAATACACAGTATCTGGCATAGATTTTGCTTCTTCTCCATCTAAAAGTTAGAAGCATATGCCTGATTATAT